GCAGTCTTTTGATTTTCACCATAAATAGCAGATTATACTTCTCCCAGTCACAGTGGCCAGCAGGTAATCCAAATGGATTACTTGAATTCTGCAATGCTAATAAAGGAGGCAAGAAAGGTGCAGTGGATTCTTTTTAAATAGTTTGAACTGGCCTAGTATGAGGTGTTAGCCAAATGTGTAAATTAAAGGTTAGTAGGGAATCGTTACAACTTGCCAACTCAAATAACCTTTTGTTAACTGCATTTTTGGCCACACACTTATGTTTCTGGTTCCTCATCTTTGCTTACTACAGTTTAGGATGTGTAGGATGCTAGAACTTATGGAAATTTATTTGTTACCTTCCTCCAAATTTCTGACTCAGTTACACGTTTTCAGTTGCAGTTAAACTGCTCTGATAAAAATGTTCTCAAAAATAGGTTAGCTGAAGAATAATGTGAAAAAGCTTTATAACAGTTTTCATTTATCATCCTCTTGGGTTGTCTGCAATACCGCATGAGGAAAAGGTTCTAGAAATTTGTTTGGACTTTCTTTTATTGAAAATCCAAAATATAAGAAAAAAACCCAGATGCCATAAGAAACAGTTTCCACTGCAGAACATTATGTAAACCTGATTCTAACGATGAGATCTTGGCTGTGACACTGTGAGCCTCTCATACTTTGCTGCAAGATCCTGGGGTCATTTTATGAAGAGCTAAAGCTTGTAGTCTGTAAGGGAAACCTGTATGCACAAAAGGTCTTTATCCTCTCTGAGTGCATTTCTATCTAGCTGCTGAAAAGCACTGCTGTGCAGGCACTGGCGAGCAGGGGAGGTACCTAATCTTCTTAGGCAGAACACAGGTAGCAGAAGTGAAAGTTGTCTGCTCCTCTTTTGGTATTCAGGTATTCTTTCGTGGCTGTGACTCAGACAAAATTTGTCTGAGACAGACAGACAGACAAGGTCTCTTTCCTCTCAAAAAATTCCATAGAAACATAATTGTTCGCAGTTGCATACCACACTCTGATAAAGGCATGAATTTTGAAATGCTTACTGTTGTTCTCATGGACTCTACTTTTCTTCATTTTCTGCTACTATTATTGATGCTTTTTCAGTGTCCCATAAAGTTCACTGCTATCATTTTCCGTAACCTTGGCTTAAACACAAAGTTACCTGCACGAAGGTAAGTCTTGGCTTTTCAGTATTAATGCTATAACTAACTAAGTGCAAATCCATCTGTAGCATACCACAGACTAAGCAGATGCAGTTTTCTTGGTAAAAGATGGAATTTTTCAGGTGTAGTGAAGATAGATGAACATACAATTTTTTTGTTCAATCTAGTAGTTACATGTCAGTGACATTTTCTCAACCTCATGTCACAAAACATAGATGTTCAAATAACAACCAAAATATCACTTCAGAGATCTTTTAAAATATGAGAAGCAGCTATTAGTAAAGAATGTGACTACACCACTAAGAATGAAGAAGTGATGAAGATTATTGTATGAGTAGAGAAAAATAAAGAACTTACACTACATAAGACAGGACAGTATGAAAAGGGATGCAATGGGACTACCATGAGGATCTGCTGGTTATGTACCTTCCTACAGCACATTCTGCCAGGAATGTATTCGGCCAGGAATGTATTCATGCTTAATTTCATGCAAAATTTTTCTGTGGATGTGGCTGAGTTCATTGGGGCTGATTAATTTTCATTTTCCTATAACTGCAAGACTGTATCTGCCTTCGTGTGCTAAAAGTGAATCCTCACCGTTATTCCTTGAAATAAACATGCAAGATTCTGTTTTTTCTTGCTTTTGCAATTAGAATGCTAGACATGATTCTATATAAAATGTAGATAAAAATTCATTCATCTGTAATTATATGATCTCATTTGGCATCTAAATTTAGGACAAGAAATCAGTGATTAAATTTTCTTTCAAAGTCTTTGTTTATCAGCTACAGAACAAGCTTAGTAATTACCTCTTAGTTATTGTGAGAACTGTGACTTCAGTATTACATTCCTAATTGGTTTTAGTTAAGGAAATTTATTTTTATAGATCACTTAGCCTACGCCTTCAGGCTGAGTGATTCTCCATTGTTTTCAGTGTATAAAAGGAGGGCCTATAGATAACGTTAAAACAAATTCATATTTTCCTGCTGGTACATACAATAGGATACGTACAATGAGCATACCTGAGTACACATTCTCTTTTGTTCTTATACGAGAAAATTCAATCCAAAATGTTTTATAAATATACACAAATCATCCCAGCAGAGATCTGCAGTGTGCCAGAAACTGCCAAGAGCTTCATTGTCAAATTAAAATTAATTTAACATTATAACTGTGGTGAGATAAACCCATCCTGTGTGTGGAAATGTCATGTTTATCTTCCGGTCTATTGCGCAGTCAGAATCTGAATGTTTTTAACCACTACCTCACAAGTCTCTTATAAGGGGAATTGTATGCCTGGAGCTGAATTAAACACAGGTTTGTGCTTAAATATAAAAGATTTAATATAAGATGCACTGAACAGTCTTACGACCGTAAGCCATTCTACAGGGAGTCTGCAAAGGTGAGGCAGAAGCCGATTCCTTTTGCACACTTGCAGCAGCACCAATCCTGTGATTGTCAGCATGGGACGCTCAGCCCTGCTTTGGATCCACTCCCCAGCACAGCTCCACCTCCTGAAGTGGTCTCTGAGCATTCATGTCAGTGTCTGATGGATTGCTACAAGATAACGCTGTGATGTGCCTCACACCCAAGGGAAACTTCACTCTCTATAGGGAGTCCTTTTGTCCTGTCATTCCTATGTCCAACCAGTTAAACCCTTTCTGTAGCTAGACCTTCCTGTCCTACACATCAGGTCATTCCTTGATCACAAATTACCAATGCTGAACAGCTACAATTTGATTTTCCCCTTCACACTGTTGGGTATGCAAACAACTCTTGTAACCTGACCGCATTTAGCAGATTTTCAGAGGATCATCAAAATGGCAACTTAGTGGCAGAAGATTGTTCTTTCATTTTTGAAGCTTGGGGACACAAGAACCTGACAACATTTGACAGAAACTTTTGACCAACCACCTAATAACATAAGCTTTTTTTTTTTTCCTTCTTCCCCACTGTGTCTCAGTTATCTAAAGCAGTTGAATCATTTGCATAGAAATTTTTAAAACCCTGCGATTTTAAGCCAGGCTTTCTTCTGCTGTCCTCCTTTCAGGCAGGTGAGATCTGAAAAACCTTTACCAGCTGAACAGTCTTACTTTGGATAGTTCTTGATTCATCAAAGTGCCTCTTATTTTGCAACTGATACTGATTTATCTCTACTCCATCACTGGCGTAACTTTGTTTCAAAGAGTTATTTGGTCTTTATTGGCAGACAGAAGAAAATCCAGTGATAGTCCATGAACACTGCTCCTTGGAATAAACTAATCCCACCACCTGATGTGTTGATATATGTAACTGCTGCCTTTGCTTTACAAATTTGTTTTACAAATCAGGATTTCTATTTTTACATTTGAACAAACTGTGCCAAAAATGAATTAATTAGGTCTTGAGATGAAATAAATTGACTAGGTGCATGAAGTATGTTGGTCTCTTGTGAGATCATTTTAAGTGCATGAAAGTTGTGAGGTTTTTTTTTATCAAATAAATATTTCAAATTTTAAAAAATGATGTCCCTCAGTGAAGTGCAGTGGAGTTACCACTGAAGGGTTTCAGTTACTTTCACATCAGTGATTAATGGAATGGATAGTCCTGAATTCAATGTGGTTGTGTCAACAATCCAACAAATCCATTATTGTCAAAAATAAGGTAATTGGAGATTAGGGACCAGGAGTTGTGAGGTCACTGGTAATCTTTATTTCCATTGACTTCAACTAGAAACAAACAAAGTTGGCATTTTTTTTTTTTTTATCATTAGATGTTAGATCAGCTGGAACCTAAATCACCATTATGGTGTTAGTTCTGAATGACTGAAAAGCATTTTATAGGTAATATCATGAAATGAGAGTTGTGGGTTTTTTAAAAGGACATCAGCAAAAGACCTGCTTGGGAATATGGACTTAAAATAAGAGGTCTGTAACGTACTGCAGAAAGAAACCTTAAAAGGAAGAAGCTTGACAACACACTGAGTTCTCTGCTTATGGGGTTGTAGAGTATATGCATTCTATTAAGTATGAATTAAAAATTATATTCTGCAAATGTTTCCTATATTTTGTAGTGGAAGTCATTTTTCATAGTATTGCAAAAACTGTCAGTATGCTCACTCAAATGGTACTTGGAAGGATGATATGCTTCCTTGAAATTTATACATTTGTTTCAGATTTATTTTCAAGGTGATTAATTCAAATAAGCAAATTTTAAGGTTTCTTCTTATTATTTTTTTATTTGTCTGAAATAATATTTATCTAAATTTGCTTTCTTATGTGCAGGTTAATGCAGTTGAAAATGTTTGTCAGAAGTTTCAGTGTCTTTAAAATTAAATAAATGCTGGCATGTTGATCTGTACACACAGAAAATTATAATTTCAGCACACCAAAAAAACCCCACAGAACTTAACTCTAGTAAGCCACAAGTCAAGTTGTTAAAGGTAGGAAAACACACTTTTCTTTGTGCTAGACAATAAAACAACAGGTTTAGAAATAAGGTTACTTTGATGTTTACATCATGTGTAAGAAGTGATGGCTTCTACAGAGATCATTTAATGGCATGAACCTAAATAAAATATCTTGGTTGATCCCTGTAAACTTTGTGTTTTGCTATAAAGCAAATGCACTATAAAACTTGTGAAAATAAGGTGAATAGGATGGTTGTACTGCCTACATTGTAATAAAGCAATCTCTGTAGTAGAATAACTGAAGAATATTTGGACTATAGCTTTATCATATTTCAAAGGTGACAGGTAAATTCACACTTCCAGAAAAACGGATGTAGTAAGTCCAAAGTGTTACAAATTAAAACATTTTCAAGGGATGGGGAGCAAACAAATATTTTCAGGCAGTAATAAAAAAAAAAAAAAATGTGCCAATGCTATATACATACATGCATAGGTCTGTATAGATATACAAAGATATAATTAGATGTTTATAAATATATATCTAGAGAAAAGCAAGGGATTGCAAGGACAGGATACCATAAGAGTAACCCTCTTTCTAATCACTCAGAAAAAAATATGTTGGCATTGTCTATTTGTCAATGGGGCTTTGATGTCTTGAACTCAAGAGGTAAGATAATTAAATACTATAAATTGCTATTACTTTTCTAAAATCATTGTAGACATAGAGGAGAAAAGGATCTGCTTCAATGATTCTTCCACAATAGAGTATGAAAGAGTGTGATATCTTTTACAGATGTGCAAAACAGGCGTTAGAAGGAGAAAAGGCTTATCAAGGTGTTCCCCTGCAAAACAAACTGTTCCCAGTGCTCTGCGTATAGTGCTTTGTCTAATGTGCTGACACCAGTATTGTTAAACCGAAAGTCCAACTGTTATATTCCCCTTCATTCCAAAAAAGTTGAGTAAGAGGTTGGTGCTACGTATTTATTTTCTGTCATCTGTAAGATTAGTATTTGTTTTTTAACAATTTTTTGGTTAACTGCTGCCACAGTTCCCAGAATCAGTGCTACAGAGGGACTACAAAATACAGTTGATACCTGCTTCATAAAATAGTTGCTTTAGAAAGATTTCTTACGAGGTTCTTTAATACAAAAAGAGCTGAAATCCAGACAGGAAAGCTGGAGTGGGGAGGAATGTATATTGCAGTGAACCTGCTCCTTGGAAACCTCAAAAAAGGAATTGAGGGACTGAAAAAATTGCACTCATCTCCTGAACATATCTGGAAATCAGAAAGGAGCATGCTGCTTGGTACTAAGGAAGCTTGAAAAGTGTAATAGGTAAAAGATTTCAAATGACAGGAATTTTTATCCTAAACTAAATTAGTTGCAATAATTTTAACAGATGGTTTTTACTTCCAGAGGTGCAGTGATCATCTCTAGGACTTGAACCCACAAAGTCCTAAGGTATGTTATTTATAATTTCCATAGTAAAACAAATAGAATATGTCTTCCATTATTGTTTGTAGTTATGTTGCAAGAAAGTTAAAAATTAAATAGTTTTAGTCTTATGTTTACAAATGTTAGGATTTTTTTTTCTGCATAGAAAAGGTGGGATGTATGTATATTTTGTTCTTTTGGTTAGCAAGTGGGTCACAGATCATATATATCATATATGTATTCTTAAGTGGATGGAATAGCTTCAACTAATTCATGGACTGATAAGTCTTGTCCTATTTGTCATTTCTACTCTTTAGCCATGAAATCTGAAAAAGCAAAATGCAATCTCTGCATGATTGTATTAAACCTTTTTTTACTGAACCTTCAGTTTGACACACCATGTAGCAAAGTTCGTGTTCCTGTAACTCATTATGTTAGAACCTCATCTTTCCTTTTTTTTTTTTTTTTTTTTAATAAGGCTTTAGATCCAACACTGCAGAGGGAAAAAATTTTAAAAAAAATAAGAAAAGCAGAGAGGAGGGGAGGGGAGGGATTCATCCATTGGAAATTATTAATAATTACACCTTCTCTCCTTGGAGAACCAACCTATGGAGGGAAGACATCTTCCTACATTTTCCTTCCTTTCTGCCTTCCTGCCTTCCTGCCTTCCTCCCTCCCTCCCTCCCTCCCTCCACAGAGATTACAGTAGTTTTAGAGAATATTGAAGATTTCTAATATCCTTTGAATACCCCTGAAAACAAACTGGTCATTATGTTAGAATCCAGTATGTTGCTGAATATGGGTCAAGTCTTTGTTTCACCTTCCTTACACTATAGCTTCAAAAAGTCCACCAAACTGTAAGGAAAGACCATGAGGGTACTATCGCAGTACTTTCTATGCTTTAAGTTCCCAGTCTCTGTTCTAGCACATTTTAACTTTCTTTGTTTTGTTGCTATGCTACCTCTGTAATCACCTCTGTCACAAACCTGCTGAAAGAACTGATAATTCAGTACTAACATTTAAAACAAGTCATCAGAACTGATGTTCATTGCATCATCTGTGTTCCTTTCTCTCCACTAGTTCTTTTTCTCTACCATATTTTTTTTTTTTTTTTTTTTTTTTTTTTTTTTTTTTTTTTTTTTTTTTTTTTTTTTTTTTTTTTTTTTTTTTTTTTTTTTTTTTTTTTTTTTACCTGTACTCTTGATTTAAGTGGTAAACCCTTGGGTAAGTTAATGGTCCATACCATTTATGCAGTATCATACAGCTCGAAACTCCAGTTATGCTGTCCTCTTTTTCCATTAGCACTACTAAAAAAAATATGATAAATAATAGAGGGAGAGGAATATCTCCCCACAGATTATACAGAATGAGCCAAAGAGCAGTTCTCCACATCTCTCATTTCTTTCTTCTGTGAGACCTAGGCATAATCATGACATCAAAATGCAAGACTGGCAAATTGCTAATACTGCAATTAGCAGTGTAGCTCTCAAACCTGAGTGGGATTTCAGGCCATCAGAGAGTCTAAGCTCCCAAAATATACAGAAATGGCAGAGTGCTGTCACCAGGAATATCACAAAACCTTACATGTAGAAATTGGATTCTGCTTCAATCAAGCATACCTGAAAAACGAAGGTGCACAACATAGCCACTTCATTTATTGATTTTGTTTTCACGATGGTGGAAATGCAAAAGAATGTGTAGCCTTGATGTGGCTTTACTTTTTTTGATTTTACTAGCTTCTATTAAGAAGCAAACTTTTAGGTATTTGTTCTGTGGGATTACACTTTTAAAACTATCCTCCAGACTTTAGCTTTACTGTCTCTCCAGTGTTATTACCTCAATTCACTTTCAAAAACTGGACTGCAGTAATGGTAAAATGATCAAGTAGAGAACATAATTGATGTTAAATATTAAACCTGTCTACTTAAATAGGGTTCTGGGGGGTTTAGATATAGTGGCATGTTCTTCTTGTGCAGATTCTTTATTTAAATGCCAGTTTTGATGAATGTCTGTGACTTCAAAAGTCACTGCTAATATTATTGCACTAAAACCACTGCCTTAGCAGAGTAGAAAAAAAGTAAGCTTTCATTTTTTTACTTTCATAAAACAGTATGCTGTTATAACACAGTTCAAGCTGATATGTCTCAAGGTACTGTGAAGTAAGCAGAAGTTGTTGATTATTTCTTCCATTCTTTCAACCGTTTTATAGGACTTCATGGAATTACAGAATGGATGAGGATGGCAGGAGTCTCTGGAGACAATCTAGTTCAGTGCCCCTACTCTAAGCAGGATCAGCTAAAGTAGGTTGCTGAGGACTTTGCACAGGCAGATTTTGAATATCTTCAAGGATGACAACTCCACAGTCTCCTGGGCAACATACTCCAGTGTTCAAACAATCTCACTGTAAAAATTGTTTTCTTGTGTTCAGATAGAATTTCATTTATTCCAGTTTGTGGGTGTGTCTTGTCTTGCCATTTGGCACTACTGCAGAGATTTTAACTTCACCTTCTTCATTCCCTTCCAATGTGTGCTTACACATGGGTAAGATCCCACTGAACTTTTTTTCCCAAGATAAACAGTCCCAGCCACTGTTAGTCATTCCTCATATGAAGAGTTGCTCCAGTCCGTCACCTTTCTGGCCCTGTGCTGAAGTTACTGTAGTATGTCTGTGTCACTTGTATTGGAGAGAGCAGAGCTGTGCACAGCCCTCCAGGTCTGTCTCACCAGGTATGAGCAGGGGGGGAGGGACCAGCTACCTCAATCTGCAAGCAACACCCCTCCTAATTCAGACCCTCCTCTTTGCTCCAATGGCAGTGTGCCGGAATATGGTCAGCTCATCTTCCAGGAACTCCAGGTTCTTCTCTGCAGATCTGGTTGCTAGCCAGTGAATTCCCGCCATACACTGGCTTTGGAAGTGTCATTCTTCCCCCAGTTTGCATTTCGCTTCGTGAAGTTCCCGTTGACTCTTGCTGCAGCCTGTTGACACTCCTCTAGATGTCAGTACATCCATCAGATGTATTAACCCCTCCTTCCTGTTTTGTGTCATCAAATTACTGAAGGTGAACTCTTTCCTGTTTTCCAGGTCTTAAAAAATTAATTAAAGGGTGTTGACCCCAGTATCCATTCCTGAAGTGAACCAATAGTGATTTCTCATGGACCTTGGGCTACTGACTGAAATATTTCCAGCAGTTTAAACAATTTTCAGTGCACTGTAGTACGTGCTTATCTAATCCATTGTACATCAGTTTGTACATGGGGATATTATGGGAAAAAATGATTAAAATTTTAATAAAGTTGGGGTAAACAACATCCACTGCTCACCCTTCATCCACCAAGGTCATCATCTCATCATACAAAAAATACAAGTTTTGCTGAATGTCTCTGACCTCAAAAGCTAATATTATTTCATATGATATCCCTCCATAAATCTATGGTAACTACTCCCAATGGGTGACTACTCCTCATTTATGGGTTTGGAAAAGATTTCCAGGATTTTTTTTATAATTTGCTTGTAGTATCCCTAGATACTTCTCTTGAAGATAGGGATGATCTTTACATTCTCCTACTCTTTAGGGACCTCTCCTGTGAGCACCCTGTCAAGCCTCTTGCACTGATATTGTCCTTCACTAAGGGTAACTCTTCATTCTCTTCATTGCTCCAGACATTTCGTCTGGTCTCATAGGTTTGAGACTCCTGAAGACTCCTCTTGCCAGTAAAAAGTGAGGGTGAAGGAGGCACCAAGTCAGACTTGACTGTGTTCTTTGTCATGCCCCTTGCCCATTTGAATGTAGGCCCACATTTTCCCTAGTTTTCTATTTACTATTAATCTACTTGTCGTAGCCTGTCTTGTTGCCTTTCAAATCCCTTGACAAGTATAAGTTCAGATGGGCTTTTGCTGTTCTAACCCTACTCTAGCACCCTCCGAAAGTGCCCCTGCTTCCACTCTCGGCATGCTTCCTGTTTATGTTTGCTTTTATTAAGGAGTTAATCTATCAAGGCTTCTCACCCACCTGTATTTAACTTCTACATGTGATGATGGACCACCCCTGTGCTGGGGGGAGATGGTGCTTGCAAAAATCGATCAGCTTTTCCCCCCAAAAAGTAAGGAAAAGAAGGAGTGAACATGAATGGATCTGCAACAAGAACTCTTCGGAAAATGACAAGAAAAGTAATTCCTAAATAATAAATTATTTTATTTTTACTCTTCACAATAATCTAGATTTCATTTATGAGCCTTGTGTACAGTCTACTCCATATTCTTTGTTACTTTCTGTAGGTGTGTGTAAACTGTCTTTAAAGAACTGGCCTATGTTTTACCCTCAACTCCAGCTTTTACTCAGGTAAAGATGAAAGGTACTTACTCAGGTAGGATGAAAGGAACATTTTGAAGGAGGAATCTTCCTCTGACCCAGCAGATGATCTCCATTTGCCAGCACAGATATATGGATTTGGGTTAGCATGTTTGCAGGAATTTTACCTTTTCCTCCATCACTGGTATTGAGACAAGTGCATCCTGTGTTAGGTACTGTTCCTGGCTACTTTTTTACTCCAAATTATCCAGTTTTGAGGAGTTTTTTCTTTCTTCAGAGAAGCGATTGGTCAACACCAGGTGTCAATTCTTGTCTTAACAGTAATTTCAACCCAGTTTTCCTTATTCTGACTCAGAAATGCCACTAGAATGTTAGCAAATTCTAGTTTCTGGAGATCTTGACCTTTATCCAGCTGATTTATCCCTTGATCATATCATCTTCTGTCTTTCTCACTTACATTAAAGATCAAAGTTGTTTCAATTCGGTCATAAAATCCTGATGCATCAAAATCTGAAATCTTTGTTAATCTTCTTCTTTACACTGTAAGATGCAAAAATACCACTCAATTTTATGTAATTATCCTGAGTATTTAACTGTGGTCATACACAATCTAGCAGATGCTGAGAATTTTATGGCAATAATTGAATAAAAATTTTCCATTGTCTTTCTAGGAGATAGTAATAAAACCTTTATGTTTTGTTTAGACTCCTGCATGATCTATGATGTTACGTTTCTGGGGAAAACTTTCTTATTACTATGGAAATCACAAACAAAGAAAATCACCTTTTCTCATGTATTTTGAGTTCTGTAGTATCTAGACATATTAGTGTCTTCCTCTATCTTGCTAAAATTCAGTTCTGCATCTAATCATAGAGACCCATGCATCAGTCAATGACTGATCTGTCTGCACTGGATTGGATTAAAAAAATCCATCAATATCTCAAAGCGACCTATTCAGTGGATTTTCAAAGTATGTTCCACTAATCTTTCACATTTTCTGCATTCATCTAACCTGAAGTATAAGTACATTCATAAAATCCTGGATATCCTTTATCTTCCTTTTGAAGTCATTGTTGATAAATTTTGTACACTTGAAAACTGTTTTTAATGGTTATGCATCATGCTTCAGATGCACTGAACTCTGAACTGGGCTAAGTACAATCTTGTCTCTTTTTTAGAAATACCTTCTGTTTGTGCAACTTTTGGAAAACCTGCTCCTGTGGAGGAAGACTGAACAACAGCTTATCCACTTGTTGCAGTCTAACAAATTTTAAGATTCCATACTATATGCTAACTATTGAAACACCTTGAAAAATTAGACAAGAAATTTACTGGCATTTTACTTCAGATATTTCTCAATCTGGATACTTTTTATCTTACATACCTAGGTGTTCCACTAGCACTCACCCTTGTGCACATATTTTCCTGTTCCATATTAAAAATCATATGCAACACTTTTGAAAAATGGACATTCATAATTTTGGGGATGTTAAGGACTTGTGCTTTGTCACTGTGTAAATTTCAACAGGGACTGAAATTTCAACAGGGACTGAAATAACAAAATTATTAAGGAAAGCCCTGTTCAGTGTATCATCTGGATGGACTGACCATTATCTGGTTGCCACCTGGTACTCTCCATGATATCTTTAAAAATTCTAAATTTCTCTGGCTTCAGTATAAACATCTTGTAATATGCCGCCTGAGTTTTTATCCGTTTATATGCCTTTTCGTACTGAAGAGAAGAGCATGCTATTGGTGTGAGTTAGCATTGCATCTGGTTATATGTTACATTTTTCTATTAAAGAAAGATACTGTAAAAAATGGTACTCAGAAAAGTTCTTATGGAACATCTAACTGTAATTTTAGTGAGATCTTGCCATGACCTTTCTCATTCAAGATTCCCTTTGGTTCAGAAGAGGATACTAATTTTTATATAAAAAAGGACTTACAGGTCTATGTATGAAAAGATGCAGTTTTTAAAAAAGATAAATACTATTTATTAATCCTGACAGTTTTATTGGGTCAATAAGTACAACAGAGCTGCATACTCAGCAAAAACACCTTGCCTGGATCGTGAGCTTCTCAGTCTCTGTCTTGTTTACCAGGTGATATTTATGGCTTTATACTCCTTTATAATGTAGTCACTGATTCAGTGCTCATGTTTCCTTATCCTAAGACACAGTTGAGTATATTTCAATAAAAATGAAAGAATATCTGTGTTTTCCAGGTTCATTTCAAGCATTCTGAGTGTGGTGCCGCGAGAGATGCTGTTGTCCATGAGCGGCTGGGATTACCATGATCAAGTGCTGTATTTTGATTTCATCCAGTGGCTGAGAGATTTCTGGGGTAAAGAGGAAGTACTGAACTTTTAAAACTATTAAACAGGTAAGTCTATCGAAATAAGTTGGGGTGGATTTTTCACAGTTTTCAGACTTATTTCAATTGCATTTCCTATTTAACTGCTTCATCTACCCCACCCCCCCAAAAAAAAAAAAAATCTGCATTTCAAATGACCATTGCAATTTCTGTTCTATGCAGCTCTTTATTTCATGTAGAAAGGTGTTTTCTTTACAGAAAACATGATTTTTACAAAAGGAAACTGACATTTCCTTACACTGAGATAGCAAGAAGAATCTCTGTTATAGGCAGTAGCAAAAATGTAAATAACTAAGCTAACAGAGAGGTTTAGTAGTTTCTACTGCAAGCTATTATATTCAAATACTGTTACCTGTTATCTCTATGAGTTTTGGAGCTGATATGCTGTTTATTTCAAGGGTTTTATTACCATAATATTTTGTTTTATCATTAGATTTTGAGAATTCTCTCTTCTCTAAGTAAGATATCTGTTTAAACAAACCATCTCATTCCTTAGAGCAATTTGTAGAACTTAATTGGCCTAACATAAAGCAATTTGCTATGGGTAGATTTAAACAAAGTACAAAGACCAAAAGCCTATCTTTCCTGACTTTGATGGATGTTTCACAAAATAAGTGAGGATAGCATGAACAGTTTATGGTTTTTTTGGTTGTTTTTTTGTTTTGTTTTGTGGGTTTTTTTCTGTATGTTGCTGTAGTTTTTATCTTTTCAAGATCTTAGAAATTATACAGGAACATGGAGCTCTGATAAAAACTAAAACTAAACTGCTCAATCAAGACTATTTCCTGAATTGAGACTCAATCAACTTATGTCTGATTATGGTGGATCATACTCATACTCTTTTTTTTTTTTTGTTTGTTTGGTAAAGAATAAGGAATGTTATTTTATTTAATAAAAATATTCAGATCTGTCTTGGAGTGTGTCTAGGGCAGCAGTAGATACTGGTGCACAAATTCCAACCTTATACCAGTGTGAATTGTACCATACAAATATGCAGTTTGGTTGAGGAAACAACAGAGCAATGTTCAGGTGACATTGTACCTTGTTATCCCAACTGTGCAACTTACAGATGTGATCTCATAGGTAAAATTCAGTGTAGACATAAGTACAGAAAAACTGTCTTCACATTCATTTCTCCAGACTTCTGGGTTAAGAGTACACTCAGATAGATGCAGGTCACCTATATCTGTATCTATATCACAGCTGCACTCCCATTGTTTCTGGGAGTGTTTCTTCCCATTGCTCTACCTGTTTTCAAAAAAAATATTTTTGATCAAACTATTTTTGTAATAGTCAAGAAAAGCGGGTTTTCTTGACCACTCAGTTCTGCAACTGAATTGTCCTCTGAATTCAAAACTAGTGATTTGAGGCATAGAATATTTTTTAAAATATTTTCACTAAATTATGTCCTTAAAAAAAAAAAAAAAAGGAGGACCAATGACTGAAAAAAGGTGACTAACAATTTAATAAACTAAATACAGTGTTCCATCTCATCTTTGAGATACAAAATTGGGTAATTTTAATGCTAATATAGAGTCATAAAATAGAAATGTGTTTAAAAATACTATTTTATGTTTCTAGTTTCCCATTATTTTCCTACAGAAACCTAAAGTTTGGTAAAATATTCTCTTCATATTTCTATGGTAGCTTTATTCTGATGATATTAATGTAGAGTTGAAGTCAACTGTTGAATCAGGATTGTTTATGCTTTGCTAATATTTATCTCTTTTTGACTTAGTTTTTTATCCATTTTTAAAAGAAATTGTTTGTAGTATTTAGTTAAAGGGTTAGCTATTAAATAGAAGTCAACAATGATAACACTGTCAATCATAGTTCAAAGCTTCAGGACTGTATGTGGAACACAAGAAGCAAAATGAAAATTAATTCCTTACTTTGCCTTTCAGAAAGTATTGCTTTTTCTTTCTGCTGTCCCTCATTTGTAGAAGTCTTTTTTAGTCTGTACTGTAAAAACTAAGTATACTTAAAACCTTGTTACATTTGTTATCTCAATAAGGGTTCAAATTTTTCACTGTTTGCTTCAGGGGTAACCTGTATTTCCAGCTGCATAGCTTTCCATGATACTATTCTGACCAAATAAATGGGCAGAAAATTAGGAGCTCTGCAAACAACTTGTGGGAGGAAACTTTTCTCAAAAGACTTAAACTGAATTATTGTTCAATAAAAAATTTTTGCTAAATTAAGAGCTGTCATGGCTTCCAAAAATTGTTTTCTGCGCTCTACAAAACCTTTCCCTTCAAACTTCATCCTTAGAGTTTTGTGTCTGGGGCTTTTTTGTATGGGGTTTTTGTTGTTGTTGCGTTGTTTGGGGTTTTTTGTTTGGTTGATTTGGTTTGTTTTTTTGTTTGGGGAAAGGTGTTGTTTGTTTTACCTGGGCTTTTTCCTTTCAGGATTTTGTTTGGTTTGGGTTAGGGGCTTTTTGGGGGGTGGTTTTGTTTGTTTGTTTTTATTTTGTTATGAACTTAAAAAAAACTTAAAGAAGAGTGAGAAAATTACCTACCAAATCAAGATCTTCCTATTTCCACCTCTAATTTTGTTTGGTGGCACTATGTACTCAGTATCCTATCAAGGCCCAGTGCTCCTTTAGGTACTGGAGGGAAAACAAGAACAACCTTAGTCAACTAATGAACAACTCGGATAATTTTGTAAGACACTCCTTTCAGTTCATGGAAGCTTAAAGCAGCTCCTCGAACAGTAAAAATAAGGCACTATTTGTATGAGAGGTAAAGTCTTTGTCAGGAAATTTCAATTCTCTTTCTAGGTTCTTATGATATGGTTATAATCTGATTCCACGAAGCCAAGCCTAGCTCAAATTGTCTTATTCTGTTTTAAACAAATGTTACGTACATTTTAAGTTTCTGGTTAACAGAAGTTTAAATATAATACTAATGTATGTGTCAAACTCATAATATTTCCATGACTATTAACAAAAAATGAAAACATTCCAAAAGGTGGTGAGCTCATATCATGAAAGCTTTGCATTTACCATTCACAACAAAGCTGAATGTGATATGCAAACTAGGTGACTATGCTGTGCTTTCTGCAAAAACCTGGGGGCAATACATTTTGGTTCTGGAGACTTTATGTGACTGACAATAATACCACGTCCTTTCTTCAGGGTCATTGTGGATGTGCAATAGACTGATATCTCCAAGTTAATCTAAGGCTGTTTACAATAGTCTACTTACAAAATGAAGCGAGAAGTGAGTATATCTGGGAGTTCAGGCATGTACTGATCAAGTTTTTGACTGCTCATGTGATTTACTGAGTATATTTTGAACTTAATAGACTCAGTGCTGTTACTACAACTTCTCTTTGATTTTTTTTCTCTTCCCTTTTTTTCCTTATTTTTAAAATTAAGGTATTTTTGATTATTCTCTCAAGTAACATGTGTGCTTTTTTAATTTAATTTATAATATGTTTTCTTCTTGGAATAAAAGGTTCCTAAAATATGCAAATACTTGAAAAGATAATATTCATTTCTATCTAAGGTATTCTGTGGTTTGCCATGGTAAACTAAGGTACTTAAAAGAGTAAGTCTTAAGAATCAAGCAAAAAAAATTAAAACCTTTAAATTTTTATTTTTAATTCTCATTATATTATTATTCTCACCTTTTGATTTTTGAGTCCTAAATTATATAATGCTTTCTGAAAGAAAACAAATTTCTATAAATCTTTTTCATTGCCACTTGAGGTCAGGCAATTAATTTTATTAGATTTTTTTTTTCATAACTCTTACAGGGAAAATCTGTTTACATAGTTAAATGAGGAAAACAATATTCAATAAACTTCAGAGAAAAAAAAAATCACTTTTTCTGTGTAAACGCTGAGGGAACAGGACTCACACTTTACTGATCCTTTAATTAATATACTTAAAGTGGAGGATGATTTATTCCTCCTATTTTTTTCTCTTCTACACCTCTCTCCCTCTTCAGTTCTTTAACAGATTTTTCTGCATCTCATAGCTTATAATGTAAGCAAATGGACTGTGTTGGCAGTGGTGTTCTCTGGCACCCCACGTGGGAAATAAATGAGTATGATTTCATGGAAGGGTGTGAAAAGGGCCAGGAGGAGGAACAATAGGAAAAGAAAGCTTATTTAATGCCTTCCATTAAGTCATTAAATGAAAATGGAAAAGTGAAAGGCTGAGGAAAGATTCCACAATAGGAGGAAAGAAAGTTTTGACCAAGTAAGGAAACAATCCAAATCTATCTGAAGACATGGACAGTGTGGACAAGAACAATCAAAAGTTTTCTCCAAACATGACCCATTAAGACTGTCACTACACTGATTGATCCTTCTGTTGTGCAGTGTGGGCACTGAGGGTGTACAGGAGGCAAATTAAGAGGTGCAACTCCAACGCAGCCTTCCCAAGAGCTAGACAGAGAGGTCAGACCTGCTCTTATCTACTCTTCTGAGAGACCCTTCTCCCTGAAGGTCAAACAAACATAAATTTCATACAGCTTGGTCAGTTTCATCTGCTAATATGAAAAAGAATGGATTAGATGGTGCTTGCTTTAAACAGAATAGTGCATAATGGAACTGCTCATTTCTCTTCTTTGTACTCTAGATTGTCAACCCCATTGGTCTTTACTACCCGTAGATTACTTAAACACAACTTTGCACAGTGGGCAGTATCAGCCCAGAATGGATCAAAATACAGAGATTTTATGTCTCAAAACTCACTCCCATATGCATTTGTAAAAATGAAATCTCATAATCCTTTCCCAAATTTATGTTTCAATTAAAAACAAAATCTCTTCTTCTGAACTTTATTTCTCTTATTCAGTTTCTATCCCTCAGGTTTTATCCTTCTATTCATAATTTTATCACCTCATCAATCAATAAATTTCAATTGTCTAGCAAGTACAGCAGGCAGACAACAGAAATCAAATGCACCAAACGCCACCATGCTTGCTTATAAAAAAAATGAGCTCCTAGGGAAAGTTACAAAAATTGTTTCATTACAGGCAATCTTACAAAAATATGAG